CACACACACACACACACACACACACACACACACACACACACATACACACACACACACTTTTCCTATTTTCTCAGTTTCTTCATTTTAAACCCAGATCAGTTTATTCTACCACCAGAGTCTCAAACTCACACAGATAATCTAATTTTATTCCTCAAGTAATCCTACAGGGAAATTATTTTCACTCTTGTTTTATAGAAGAGGAATTTGAAACCGACAGAGGCGATTTCATCAAGCTCAAGTAACCAGCAAGCACAGACTCAGGATTAAAAATATAACTAGATATACAGAATTTCTAAACTGAGGCTTTTGCTACCACAACAGCTTGGAAGAACAATGGAGGCATGAATATAGTCACTAAGACTGGCCACGTGGATACAATAACGAAGACTTTGCTAACTTTGAATCCAAAGAAGGATAACTGCCTTGACCTATTGACTTTGGTTGCTATTGCTTAGGGAAAGATGCCAGTCACCAAAGTTAAAACCCAATGTACAATATTTGACCACACAGAGAAGAACCTTGACGGGCATTCTCTGGGGTACGAGTGCTTCACTATCCAGTGAAGCAGACTTTCAGGTGGCCTGTCTACGTCATCTAGCAAGGCAGTCACTGAAGTGGCACTAGAACAGACCTCTCCTACTGGGCATGTCATGCTTTCCTGTGTATCCTGTTCTCTGCTTTGCAGGAGATGGCATGATGCTCTCCGGTGACACCCACATCAAATATTTACTGAGCACCTATTGTGTGTCAGGTACTGTGATGTAATGATAAACAAAAGGAGTAGCAATAAACAAAAATAGCAGTCTCTCCTGAGATGTACAGCTTCGCAGGATTTAGAGACATCAAAGAATTAAGTAAATATATGATGACTCACCAGAGCAGTAAGTATCAAAACTGCACAATGCTCTTCTGAGAACATAGTCGATCTAATTCAGTAGTGGACATGCATCCCTCGTTTCCTGTATCCTCACTGGCATTCATTCTCATTTGTTTTCTTAACGATAGCTGTTCCGTTTGAGGGGAAATGGAATATCAAATTAATTTTAATTTGCATTTTCCTGATGGCCTAGAATGTTGAACACATTTATTATTGTTTATTATTTATGTCAATGTGGGGCGGGGGGGGGGAGACAGAGAAAGAGAGCTAGGAAGCCAGAAGAGAACACCAGAGTTACAGGCAGTTGTGAGCCACCCAGTGTGGATATGGGAACCAAACTCCAGTCCTCTGAAAGAGTGTTAAGTGCTCCTAACCACTGAGCAATCTCTCCAAACCCATGAACACATTAAAAAGTACTTACTGGCCACTTCTATGTCTTACTTTGAAAACTCTCTATTCAGTCAGTCCTTAGCCTGAATTTTCTTTCCTTTTTTATGATTGATTGATTGATTGATTGATTGATTCTTCTCTCACATATTACATCCTGACCACAGTTTCCCCTCCTTTCTCTCCTCCTAGTCCCGCCTCTCCTCCTAATCCCTCCCTTCCTCTCTCCTCTCTGGCAGATCTACTCCTCCTCCTTTTCCCTTCAATAAAGGGATATCAAAAATGGCATAACACATTACAATAAGACCAGGCACAAATCCTCATATTAGTGCTGGATGAGGCAACCAAGTAAGAGGAAAAGGGTCCCAAAGGCAGAGAAGAGAGTCAGAGATGGCCACAGCTCCCACTGTTAGGAGTCCCACAAGAACACCAAGCTACATAACCGTAACACATATTCAGCTAGCTCAGATCTATACAGACTTCCTGATTGTTGGTTGGGTCTCTGTGAGCCCTTATTAGCCCTATTAATTGAGTCTGTGGGCCACTTGTGATATCTTTGACCCCTGTGGCTCCTACAGTCCCTCCTCCCCCTCTTCTGCAGAATTCCCGGACCTCTGCCTAATGTCTGACGGAGCCACCTTCACCCCAGCACATCTTGTAGGTTGGACAAATTGTAGGTCAGAGGTTTTGTGGCTGGGTTGGTGTTCCAGTCCCTCCCCTGGAAGACTGGCCAGTTCAGGCTCAGTATCCCCAGTACTAAAAGCTTTCTCTAGGGTCACCTTTGTAGATTCCAGGGAGCTTTATTACACTAGGTTTGGGGTACAGATCTAAGCAAAATTATCAACAGAGGAATCTCAAATGGCTGAGAAACACTTAAAGAAATGTTCAACATCCTTAGCCATCAGGGAAATGCAAATCAAAACTACTTTGAGATTCCTTTTTATCTCTGTCAGAATGGCTAAGGTCAAAAACAAAAGTGACAGTTCTTACTGGCAAGGATGTGGAGCAAGGTGAACATTCCTCCATTGCTAGTGGTAGTGCAAACTTGTACAGCCACTTTGAAAATCAATATGGTGGTTTTTCAGAAAATTGAGAATCGACCTACCTGAAGACCCAGTTATACCACTCCAGGGCATATACCCAAAAGACACTCCATCCTACCACAAAGACACTTGCTCAACTATGTTCATAGCAGCTCTATTTATAATAGCCAGAAACTGGAAACAACCTAGATGTCCCTCAACTGAAGAATGGATAAAGAAAATAAATGTGGTACACATACACAATGGAATATTACTCAGCTGTTTAAAAATATAGTCATCATGAAATTTGCAGACAAATGTATATAACTAGAAAAAATCATCTTGAGTGAGGTAACCCAGACCCAGAAAGATAAACATGGTATGTACTCACTTACAAGTAGATATTAGCTGTAAAGTAAAGGATAACCATGCTACAATCCACAGACCCAGAGAAGCTAAGTAATGAGGAGGGCCTAAGTGTGTGTGTGTGTGTCAGGGGGTGGGGGCGGGGCATGAGGGGGCACATAGATCTTCCTGGGAAGGGGAAATAGAATAGATTTCTCAGGTGAACTGGGAGATGGGGGGTGGGAACAGGAGAATCAGGTGAGCAGGGAAGGGGGGAGGGACATCTTATTGGTAGAAATTTGGCCTGAATTTTCATTGGATGGTTTGTTTTCTTAGTATTTAGTTTTTTAAGTTCCTTATATATTCTAGGTATTAATCATTCACCAGATGTATATTTGGCAAAGATTTTCTACATTGTAGTATGTCTCTTCACCTAACTAATTGCTTCCTTAGCTGTGCAGAGATTTTTGGTTTCATGATGGCTCATTTGTCACTTGTTGGCACTATTTCTGGGCAGGTGAATCCTGTTCAGGAAGTCCTTACCTGAGGCCTTATCATGAAGTGATTTCCATCATTTTCTTCTAGCAGTTTAATAACTTCAGGTCTTGTGTTGAGGTCTTCGGTGCACACAGGGAGAAGATGTGTTTTACACACAGGGAGGGATATGGAGCTAGTTTCCTTCTCCCAAGCATAAATATCCAATGTTTCCAGCACCCTTTGTTGTAGAAGTAGTCTTCTCCAGCATGTCTTTTTGCCATTTTTGTTTTTTTGTAAAAAAGGAGAGGGGTGCGTAAGCTATGTAGGCTTACACCTCAGCCCCCTATTCTATCCCATTGATCAATGTGCTTGTTTTTATGCCAGTGTCATGCTCTTTTTGTTACTATATCTCTGTAGTATAACTTGAAGTTGGGCATAGTGATCCCCCTAGTGTTAATCATTTTGCTCAAGATTACTGTAGCTACCTGGAATTTTCTATGGTTCCATATGAATTTGTTTTTGTTTTTTTTTTTCCCCTCGTGAAGAATGGCATTGGAATTTTGATTGAGATTGCATTGAGTCTGTAGATTGCTTTTGGTAGAATGGCCATTTTCACAATATTAATTCCTCTAGTCCACAAGCAAAGGTAGTCTTGTCATATTCTGGTATCTTTATTTCTTTTTTTTTTTCTTTTATTTTATTTTACAATACCATTCAGTTCTACATAACAGCCACAGATTCCCTTGTTCTCCCCCTTCCTGCCCCCCTCCCCTTCCCCCCAGCCCACCCCCCCATTCCCACCTCCTCCAGGGCAAAGCCTCCCCCGAGGACTGAGATTGACCTGGTAGATTCAGTCCAGGCAGGTCCAGTGCCCTCCTCTCAAATTGAGCCAAGCGTCCCTGCATAAGTCCCAGGTTTCAAACAGCTAACTCATGCAATGAGCACAGGACCTGGTACCACTGCCTAGATGCCTCCCAAACAGATCAAGCCAATCGACTGTCTCTCTTATTCAGAGGGTCAAAGTGCTCGCCTTATATTTAAGGCAACTTTTATAGCGCGGTTCGAGCATCGGTTTGCATCGAGAGGTATCTTTATTTCTTGCCTTGGTATTTTAAAGCCTTTATTGCACAAGTCTTTCACTTACTCTGTCAGGTTTATTCCAAGGTACTTTTTTGAGGCTACTGTGAACAGAATTGTACCCCTGGTTTCTTTCTTAGAGTGTTAGTCGCTAGCATATAAGACAGCTTCTGAATTATGGGTGTTAATTTAGCATCTTGCCACTGTGCTGAAATGATCAATTATAAAAGTTCTCTGATGCAGTTGTTGGACTTGCTTACATATAGAAAAATCTCATCATCTATAAACAAGGAAAGTTAACTCCCTCCTTTTCTATTTGTATCCCCCTTTTCTTTTTATTGCTCTAAATAAGACTTCAAGTGCTATATGAAATAGAAGTAGAGAGAATGGATAGTGTTTTTATTGTTTTTGATCTTAGTGGAAATGCTTTGAATTTTTCTTCATTTATTGTAATGTTGTCTATATATTTATAGTAAATAGCTTTTGTTATGTTAAAAGATGTTCCTTATATTTTAGCCTCTGGGAATTTTATTATGAAAATATGCTGGATTTGTCAAAAGCCTTTTCTACATCTATTGAGACAATAATGTGATTTCTGTCCTGGAATCCATTTATGTGATTATTATATTTATTGACTCATCTGTATCAATTATTTTATTTATTGATTTATCTCTGCCAAGTCATTCCAAATATCAGAAATGAAGCCAATATGATCATGGCAACTAATGTTTTTTGTGTGTCTAAATGTGATTTGCAAGCATTTGATTGAGAATTTTTATGTCTATGTATATCAAAGTAATAGGTTATCATTTTCTATGTGGGTTTTTTTTAATCTGGTTTTGGTATCAGGGCAGGACTAGAATCACACACACAAAAAGAAAGAGTTTGGAAGCATTCATTTCTTTTCCCTTATATAGAATAATTTGAGGAGGATTTGATGCTAATTCTTCTTCAAAGGTCTTGTAGAATTATTCAGTGAATCTGTCTGGGCCTGGACTTATTTTTTAGTCAGGAGATTTTACTGTAGGGAACAAGAAAGCCTTGAGTAAGTGAAATCCTGGGAGAATGTGCATTATTTGACATGGATGTGGCTATTTCAAAGGCCATAGCCTCAGACCCACCAGGGAGGTGTCAAAATCTTTCCACTGAGATGAGGCTCAGGGAGATGGCAAAGCTTTCCTGGGATGTGTATGTCAATCTGATAGTGTGTGCAGGAAACTGACAAAAGCAAAGATGAATACTTATTTTTTCAGCATAGCACTTTCCAAGGGAAGACCAGGCAGCTGTTTGGGGTGAGGGATAGGGTGGTCACAATTTGTTCTTATGGGAACAAGCATTTATGAATATGTATATATATTACTTGAGTGGTTTGGATAGAACCATCATCTGTGGAGTCACAAAACTCCTTATTCACAGTGTGATTATTCCATACAGATATTGTCTTCAACCAAGAAAACAAATTTACCATGAATCAACGTCAGGGTAAGTTCATGCCCTCCGAGTTCACTTGGCTTGCAGTATTTTCCCATCATCCTTAAGCAGCTGCCCAGCTTTCACCCTACACAACCTTTTGACAACATAAGACTTACAGAAACCATCACCATCAGGATGACGCTTGTTCTCTGAATCATCAAATAGTCTATTGTTATTGAGACATTATTTCACCCATATACAGATGCATGGATTTTGGAGCCTCACTGTGAAAATCAAATAGCTCATCTCATTCTACACATAAGAACTCATTAAAAAAAAATACTAGGAGAAGCAACCTTCTCCAGAGAAGAGCCTCATGATAGACTATACAATCCCAAGTAATCAGTCATAAACACATATACATATGAGCAATACTAACTGGACTCAGCCGATTGTACTTATAAATATGTTTCTGATAATTGAGAATAAGAAGTCATGAATTTGAGGAGTCGGGGAACACTGGAGGAATTGGGAGGGGAGGAAAGGATGGAAATGATATAAATACAGTACCCCTGTATGAAATTCTCAAAAAATAAGAGAAAGACATTTTTTTTTCTTTTTTTTTTTTTTTTTTTTTTTTTCGAGACAGGGTTTCTCTGTGTAGCTTTGTGCCTTTCCTGGAACTCACTTGGTAGCCCAGGCTGGCCTTGAACTCACAGAGATCCGCCTGCCTCTGCCTCCCGAGTGCTGGGATTAAAGGCGTGCGCCACCACCGCCCGGCAAGAAAGACATTTTTTTTTAAATGTAATTCTCATTCTTGCAATTTTGGTTTGCTACTTTTTGTTTGTTTGGTGGCTAGATGGCTAGCTAGGCTTCTAATTGGCTGTCTTTCTTGCTTGAAACAGAATCTTGTCTTTGGGACCCACCTCAAAATTTTGGTCTTCCTGCCTCCCAAATATTGAGATTATACTCATGTGCCACCTAACCTCTTCACATCCATGAACATAACAATAATTACCATAAATAAAATACTACTTTGCCATCTGACTACTATGGGCAGCTCCTGTCACCAAATCAACTGTAAAACAAGGAGAGTCATCATGATTACAGAGAGAAATTAGTTTTCTACTGAAAAATGGGAGTTAAGGAGATCAAACTAGAACTTTATTCAATTGAATACTTTTTAATATCTCTGTATGGCAAAAGATGAAGGAAAGCTATAGAAATCTAATACAGGTAGGACTGTTGATGACCAGGGTCCTCCAAGAAGGACATTTGCTAGGTAAAGAGCTCAGGCTACTGAACCACTTTCTGAGGACAAGCAACCAAGAAAAGGGTAAGAAAGATAAATATTCTATAACCAAATCATCAGGTGTTAAAATAATGACTGTCTTCATTTTTCTTTACTCTTTTGGTTTATATTTGCATACATTTGTGAATTATTCTTTTCTTTTTCCTATCTTCAATCTCACATCATCTAACACATTATAATCATATGTCACTCACATATTTGGTATTTGTATCAAAGGATTTCACAGGCATAGTATAACATAACTAAAGAAGGATAGAAATTATCTAGACATCCTTAAAACAATGTATGGGACTTAGGTCTCTTCCTAGGGAAAGGGGGTGTTTAAAACTTTTGTTGTTAAGCTGATAAACTCCTTCAGTAAAGTGGCAGGATACAAGATCAACTCAAAAAAATCAGTAGCCCTCCTATACACAAATGATAAAAGGGCTGAGAAAGAAGTCAGAGAAACATCACCCTTTACAATAGCCACAAATAATATAAAATACCTTGGGATAACAC